CCGAGTAATGCTCCATCGAGAAAGCCGGGAGAGGAAGGCGGCGGTGCATCGGATGGCGACGGGCGGGCGACGGAGGGCTACTGGCAGAGAGGGAGACGAAGAACGAAAGCGAATGAACCGGGCGAGGCGACCGAGCGCGGCTCATTGGGTTACCAATGAGAGGGCAAGGGCGGTACCGTGGTCATTTGCCACCCCATGCTGCCTCGGATCCCACCTGAACCGACGCTATTGTCGTGCACTACACAGTGCAAAATGATAATTCTGTATCTCTTCTCATTCATTTGATTCTATCGGTACGCTTATCAGCCGTTTTTCTCTCGCAACCCAACAGTATCAGCCGCCACCTAAACGATCAAAGCGAACAGGCTGTAATCTCCCTTGTCGAGAGAGCAGACATCAACAGCAGGCGAGGGAAACAAGATACGCCCCACCCACCCGTTCCGGCAGCCAGCGGCGATGCAGCAGCAGATGCCCATGCAGCCGGCGCCCGCTGCGGCGGCGCCCCCGGCGGCCGGCATCACCACCGAGCAGATCCAAAAGGTACGAGCCACCCCGCACCGGCCCCCACGCCTTCTTGCTAGGATTTGCCGCCGTGCCTTGATTAAGTCTGCTGGCCGCCTCAGCTAGTTTCGCCAAGAAACGGATGAGTACTTCTCCTCCTCGCTCGGATGGCTACTGCGCCTGCCGGGGCCTTCTCGGCCGCGCGCCGCCGACTCATCCATCTCGCCCTTGCTCCCCATGGCGGCGTCGTTTTTAGGGATTGGTTCCAATCAAAGATTGGATTTTTTCGGCTATTGGTTAGGGCAAGATTGGGCGTCCTTGGACCTTTTCCATTTTGGGGGTAACCGCAGATTGCTGGATTGAGTGCTTAGGTCAATCGGTGGGCAGCAGTACTGCAATAGCAGATTCTTGGATAGAGAGCTTTATTCAATCAGTGTAACAGTAGTTCGGTGGCGTGCTTTGGCTGTTTGGAGTAGTTGGGTGGCTTGCTTTGGCGGTTTGGAGAGCTATATGCTCGCCTATTCAAATGTGGCTTAGAGCAATACAGGAGGTGGAGCCCCTTTGATGCTCAAAGGTTGTGGTTAGTGCCTGATCATTGAACGCCTTTGGCACTACAATGTGTTACTTATATATCAATTTTAATTTTGGCAAATGCCAAAAATGGGTGATACACCATAATGTGTCATTGAGATATCATATTTATTTTTTAGTAATAAAGGAAAATGTGGGTAATATGCCTTTGAAATTTTGGCAAAGGCTAAGTGAGCACTGAGCAGTGGGATCATGACATGCATTCAAATATCAGTTTTGAATTTTGGTCAAAGGCCATATGAGCAATGACACTATAACTTGCCACTTAAATATTCAGTTTGAATTTTTGGCAGAGGCTAACTATAGCACTATAACTAGCCAGCCCTGTGCCACAGGTTCTCAGGGTTTATATTGCCCTGTGGTGGGCCAGCTAACCAGCCCTTGTTCCTCTGCTATGCAGTTTGGCACTCTCTTCTAGCCAGTCCTGTGCCATGCGGCACAGGTTTTAAGCCTGTGCTTACATTGCCCTGTGGTGGGGCAGCTAACTGGGCCATTGGTCCTCTGCCATGCAGTTTGGCACTTTGGCTTACCGGTCTGAAGTCACTTTTACTAAGGAAATTGCTAAAACTCATCTGCATTCGGGGTTTGTTTGGAGAACACCTACAATTTCTGTTTTCCCATTGTAACACTGGTTATCTTCCTATGTGTCAAATTACCTCCTAAAGCTGTTGAAATGAAATGCTGCTTGCGTGCATTCGAGCATGATATGGTGACTTGTAGTGTAACTTCATGCATCTTTGTGATTGTGACAATTCATTCTGACCTGCAACTCTTTTTTTTAATGAATTCTTCAAGATGAGCACAAAAGTGCATGAGTAGAGAGTGCAAACAATGGAGTGCTAGGTCAGATTAAATGTTATGGAGGTGCTATGAGGCACACTATAAGTCATCATGCCATGTTAGAAGCCACTCAAACAGCATGCCATGTGGTCAATGGCGTTATGGGGTAAATACCTAGGAAGAGACGAGGTGCTAGAATACAAAAAAACAAAAGTTGTAGGGCAGTTTTGGCGAACCCCATATTTGCAGATGGGTTTTAGGAATTTCCTTTCTTAGGACAGTCGTCAGTCGATCATTGTCCAGCAATGCTCTTCTTTCAACTGTGCTCAATCATTCTTGGACAAAACTCTCTTTGCCATGGAATGTGGCCTGCTGGTATAATAATATGATTAATATCAGCTTTGACAGTCTTCCATTCACAGATAATGTGGTTTGTTAGGCTACACCATCTTGACCTGGTTACTAGCTGTGACATGCTAGCAATCATGTACTATTCTCCACAATGTGTTGGTGTCTGAAACTCGCAACCAAATTCTGGAATTAATGTACAATTAAGCTTGGCTTTCAAGAAGCTGAGCATAGCTGCAGGAAAAATGGAAAATCAGGTCCCTGAACTTTTAAATGAAACCACTTGCACAATTCTTTCACAGAGAAGGTAAAGGATCAATTCATGACTATGCATAAGCCAAACACTAGTCTATGTCATCATTCACTTATTAAAGTTTACTGACACAAACTGAATTTGCCTTTTGCAGTATTTGGACGAAAATAAGCAACTTATTTTGGCCATCCTGGAAAATCAGAACTTAGGAAAGTTGGCTGAATGTGCTCAGTAAGTATCTTTCTGAACTATTTTGTGAGATACCTCATTTTGCTGTACTAGTTTATAATTGTGAGGTACTCCCTCCGTCCTGAAATAAGGTGCATTCTGGCATTTGAAATGTGTACTCAAATATAGTACATTCGGGGAACAAGAAGATAATGTTTACTTAAATAAAATACATGATTATTTCGTATAAGAAAGTAATTCATGTACTTGCCATATTTTGTATAAGGAGACTAATAGTTCACCCTTTAATCATGCGAAAAAGAATCAGATTTCAATACATTAGGAAGGCAAGTGAGGGGTACAAGCGTCTATTGCACTCTCCCTTATTTTGTCTGAAAATGGCCAGAATGCATTGTATTTGAGGACGGAGGGAGTACCTCATTTTGCTGTAATCTGTCAATTGATAAGGTTGTATGAATTAGTTTAACCGTATGCTGTCTAAAATTCTGATCCAATGACGTGTTAAAGTCATTTTGATGTCATTTTACATACTAGTTCCAGCTGTCAGTTGAGAAGGATACATGCACATTTTCAATTCATAAATTATTGATGCATTAAAACTTCAGAAGGATATTTGATATGTTTGTAATATGTACCTTCAATCTTATTCATGACTTAACCGTCTTATGTGTAATTGCTATCTTCTTCACAATGTATTTTCAATAACATTATATCTTGCATTCTGTGGACTTCTAGGTATCAAGCTCAACTTCAAAAGAACCTCTTGTACCTGGCTGCGATTGCTGATGCCCAACCCCAACCACCGCAAAACCCTGCAGGTCGCCCTCAGGTTAGCTCTGTCCAAATCAGTAACCTTACAGTTGCTGCCCTTTGATCAAGTCACTTGAATTTTCATTTCTTTGCATACAGATGATGCAACCTGGTATAGTGCCAGGTGCGGGGCATTACATGTCACAAGTACCAATGTTCCCTCCAAGAACTCCATTAACCCCACAGCAAATGCAAGAGCAGCAGCAGCAACAGCTTCAGCAGCAGCAAGCGCAGGCTCTTACATTCCCTGGGCAGATGGTCATGAGACCAGCTACCATCAACGGCATGCAGCAGCCTATGCAGGCTGACCCTGCCGAACAGCGGAGCTGCAGCAGCCACCACCTGTCCCAGCCGACGGGCGAGTAAGCAAGCAGGACACAACGGCTGGCGTGAGCTCAGAGCCTCCTCCAAATGAGAGTCACAAGACCACAACCGGAGCAGATAGCGAGGCAGGTGGTGACGTGGCAGAGAAATCCTAAGTCGAGCAGCCTGGGCAGGGTGAAAATAATGCCTTGTATACTAGCAACGAAACAAAGGACTCTTGAATGACAACTACTAGTCCTTACCAGTTTACTGTGTGGTTTAGATGGTCAGTCTCATCGATTGATGTAGAACAAAGTTTAGATTGGTGGTGTAATCTGTCCAAGATTGATACTGCGTCCTTACATTGCTGTAGCCATTACGGAATGATTTCATATGAGCCTGTTGCCCTAGTGGATTTCACCTATGTTTATGAGCTGATGTAACTTGGTAAGTAAAACTGGTTCGCAGTTGTTTTTTACATATAGGTCACTAATCCATGTATCTGTGACATGTTGATTGTTGAGCTGTGAATTGTCACAGTTTTAATGCAACAGTGAGATACATCGGCTGCAATATGTATGGCAATTCTGCAATACAAAGTTAACAGAGGGTTTTTTTTTTTTTCCAATCAAATAAACCGTGCTCCATGTTCATTTTCCGAACTACCAAAAGGAAGCATGTGCTCATTTTCCAAACTACCAAAAGGAAACATGTCAGTGCTCCATATTCATTTTCCAAACTACCAATAGGAAGCATGTCAATATATTCAATCATTCAGGTAGACAAATATTTATCAATACATAGATGACATGTTTCCTTGACAATAATGTCGACGGGCAACGAAAAACAAAATGAAACGAAGCATAACCGAGGAGAGAGAAAACGTGCTCCATGTTCATTTTTCAAACTACCAAAAGGATTTTCCAAACGTGCTCCATGTTCATTTCAATACATTCACTTGTACAGGGCTTCAAATATTTATCAATACATAGATGACATGTTTCCTTTCTTGACAACAATGTCGATGGGCAACCAAAAAAATGAAATAAAACACTGAACAACTTTTCATTTCCAGTACATTGCAAAATCAGGCCTCTAGCATCGATTCCTTTAACTTGCCTTCGATTGGGAGTCCTGGAATTCAGAGGCCTTTTTCCAACCATTCATGCAATGCAAGCCATTTGTGAGATGAATAGCCATTGGTTTCTCTCCTTGAGATAAAGTCCTATTGCCGTCGCCGCTTTCTCGTAACATCCTTTGGAAACTTGAGAGGGGCTGGAAGCGTCATGACACTGCCCTTAAAAGCACCTTCTGACACAGATTTGCACCCCAACTGGTCATAATATGGTTTAAGCTTTTGGCGGGTCATTTTAAGGTCCTCACATATGTCGTTAGGATTAGATCTGAAGTCATCGGCAAAAAGTGTTAGGACCAATATGTAGTTGATCAGAAGCTCATTTTTCTCTGTTGACATGACACTGGACCCTGGTTCCGTAAACATCAGCAACAGCCTGCGATATACAGCCTGCGGGGTTGCTGGTCCACGGTTTGTCTGGTTTTCATTTCTCTCTTTCCGTTGGCGCTTGGACATGGAGCCATTCCGTGCCAATAAAGATAGGAGATGTTGGATGTAGGACAGTATCCAAGCAAACCGCTCTTTATCTTCACCCTAAAAGAATGCAAGGGAAAAGTAGCTTCTTTTAGAAACAAGTGGAAAAGATCCATAAACACACTGTACTATAACAAAATAAAAAGTGGCATAAGAGCAACAATTGTCTGCCATCATTTTGGCAGCCAAACTGTCACTTCCTAAAGAGAGGCACACAGAGAGCAGTGCCATTCAACTTGTCATCATTTTAGTAGTAATGGTGTCTGCTATACTGCTATCAGAATGATATACAAGTAAAAAGTCATGCTAAGAATCAATTATAAACTGTCACAAGTTCCATGAGAAGAAAAACAAAGGTACTTTAAATTACCACAAGAATGTTTGCCATTTAACGGTGTTTCACCAGAGTTACCATTACCATTAAATTACGCAGCACCTTAAACTATATGCCTTCCTATAGAAGAACTCAAGCATACAGAAAAGTGTAACTAATCACCTGAAGCTCGTTCAACTTGTGCTGCGTTTTGAGACAAAACCCCCATAGCCTTTTGAGGAAAATTCTCCTGATTCAAAATGATCGATAATTTGTAAAAGGTGTTGCCGTATACTCTTTGGAATAATCTCATCCAAAAGATATGCCTTTTCTGATGTATCTACGGTAGGATCATAAGGTGGAATGTTCCGAGTAAGTACTGGTTCCTGACTATCAATGGTGTTGGCAGCAGTCTCTGATCCTCCAAGGTCAATGTCCTCAAAAGCAGAAGGATCATTCCTTTGTTCATTTAACGATCTCCACTTATTGTCCTGCAAAGATTATAAGCTTCAACCAAATTTTCTTTTTAACTTTTCTAAATTGCAAGGAATGCTGCAAGTACCTCTGCAGCTCATGAAAATAAATTTGACCAGTGTACAATGGAAATTATTATGATCATCTCAAGATAAATCTACAAATCAGCTTTTTGTTTAAGACAATGGTATAACTACAAAATATCTCCCTGTTATCATACAGATTCAAATACAAAACTAAAGGAAATCATACTGGCTCCATGACAGTTAATAATGAGTTCTGCTCAACAAATCTAATCTGTAACTGTGTCATGAACATCATCTTAAAAAAACTATTTCCTAAAAAAAATAAGCAAACAGGGGCACAGAATAGTGGCATTGTCGTCTCTTTCGTTTCATATAGTCTTGCAACTGTATGTCTCAAGCTCACATTCTGGTTGCAATTCTGATACATATAATCAACAGCGCGCTAGTAAACCTAGACACAGACATACCTTGTCCCTGTCCATCTTGGTTCCATACATCATGGTCAAATCTTGAACCTTCAATTCATCATTTCCTGCAGCTTCTGATGCCACCTCAGAGTGCTGCGAATGTGCTGGGCGCTGCACTTCAAGATGTGGCTCTAGCCTCAGAATCTGTTACAGAGTACAAACATCAAGAATAACTTTACACACCGATATCCTCAATGCCTCATGCCATTTGCACAGAAATGTTTCTTAGCCCTTTTAAAATGTATGCTACTCTTATGATTGGAATGACAATCACAACAGCAGCTTACACTCCAATGCAAGTGAACAAAAAAAAATCAGAACAGGAGATTGAAGCTTTAGTGCGACTCTGCTAAAATCCTAACTACGCAGGTAATGTCACAACACCAGTAGTGCCCATCCAATTTACAACTTTTCGTTGCATAATTAGACAACAGAGAATGCTTACAGTACTTAAAAAACTGATATTGATTCTTTAAACAGATAAAATTTCATATATGTGTGATAAAAACCCGTTTCCTTTTAGCTAAAATTGCAACTCAAGTGCAACCATTACAAGGAAGGGTCAAAATTTTGGTCCTCACCTTCTTGGCGGCAATGGGAACGACCCTGAGGGTGCCGGAGGCTCCTGTCAAGGACGCCGAGCGCATACTCGCAGAGCTGCGGCGCGGCGGCCTCACCGGCATAGCTCCGGCCGACGAAGTCAGGTCCGCCGCCGGGGCTCCGGACCACGAGGTCCACCCAGGTGGGGTGCTTCTCGTGACGGAAGAGCCGGGTGCGGGGGAAGACTCCGCCCTGCGGCGGCGGCGGCGGCGGCGGCGAGGGGTCGTAGCCGGAGGGAAGTAGCCGACCACGGGGGCGGCCGCGGCGTGGGTAGGAGGAACCGCCCGTGAGGGAGGCGTCGACGGTGACATTGGTGGGGCTTCGTCGACGGTGACATCGGTGGGGGCTACGTAGGTGGCCTTGTGCTTCTTCGAGTGCTTCTTCTTCTTCTTGGTGGAGGCGGAGGCGGGCGCGGGGGGGCGTGGATAGGGTTTCGGCGTCCGCCATTGGTGACGGCTCTGGGTTTTGAAGCAGGTGAGCAAATGGGCCTTCCTGCTTAAGAGGATTGCAAGTTTTGCGCTCAGGCCCTCCGCAACCTTTGCATTTACAATCACCAGAATTTCCTAGATTAATGTAATATACAGTGTTTTTTAAAGCGGGACGAGAGCTCCGCCGCTCAATTAAGAAGAGGTTTATATACTAATGGCTCCAACAGTGGGCGCACAAACTGGTCCCTTTGACCCGAAGAATTACGCATGTTAGTCGGTGTGTGAAAAGTGACCAACACGTAAATATTCGTAGTTTTTTCTTAAATGCGTTGTGATCGGATGTGGCCTATCACTCAATGACCACGGGGTTTATACTAGTTCGAACGCGTGCCCCACGTCCAATTTGAGTCAATCGGTGACTTTATTCTGAGTCCGGTGCTCAAAGTTTCTTGTGGGGTTACAAGCGAGAGGAAGTAAGATGAGAGTATCGGAGGTCGGTCGGACTCGGGGACGAAGAAGGGCCAAGAGTGATGGGAGCTCCAGCGTGCACTAAGTGTTCGAGCGTATGCTCTGTTTGGCCTTAGAGTTCAAGAGCCAAGCGGAGAGAATCGGAATGATCCATGTGTTGTCTAAATCGTCCTCCTCCTTTTGAGAGAGCACATCCTTTTATAGATGAAGGAGCGGCTTTACAAAGAGATAGTATGAGAGAAAGAGTGTGTGCCACCTAGTCTTGTTGCCCACGACGTGCCGGGTACAAGGTGGTTTGTCGCCACAATCTGTTGATGGTTGGATGCATGTGGTCGGTTCCACCGCGTTCTTACAGTATGGCCAATGTCTAGGCGCCTACCATCTTTGTAGGATAAATGTCGGCGCTCACAACCTTTGTGGGTGTTCGACATATCTAGAAAGTTATAAAAAGTACCCTTGACATGACCGATGTGATCATCATCCTGCAGGTGTGCAGTGGTACGGTCCTTGATATTATGGTTGACTAGAGCCACCGCCTTACTTGCTCTCATTCTGTTTTCTAGGTCTTCACCATAGCCAAGGCCGTCCCGATCGCTCGTTCCCCTAAGCCGCTTTGGCCTCTGCCTGGAGAGAAGACAAGTAGAGGTTCGATGTACTCTCGATCGTAGAAGCGAGTCGAGTCGGTGTGGCGTCGTCCCTTCTCGCCAAGCCTTCGGTCGAAGGCAGCCAATCGTGAGGCATGACGTCGTTCCTCCTTGGCGAGCCTTCCGGTCTCGAGGCGGGCGAGTCGGATGAGGCGAAGTCGGTCCCTCCTTGGCGAGCCTTCCACGGAGAGGTGGGTCAAGTCGGAGGCGAGCATCGGTCCTGCTTGGCTGTGCCTTCAGGTTGGAGAGGTGGGGCGAGTCGAAGCGGCGTCGTTCTTCTTTAGCTAGGCCTTCGATCGAAGTCGAAGATCTGGATCTCCCGGCCTATCGTTAGGTTTTTGGGCCGACCCAGGAGTTGGGCGCTTGTTTGCAACGTCGTCTGCAACTTGGGCGAGCTTTTTGGGAAGCATGTCCATGAGGGACCCCGGTTTATGAACCCGGGCAGAGGCCCCGAGCCCTGGGCGATTCGGGTAGAATCGTCATGCGGAGATTTTATCTTGATAGTGGGGTGCGAGTGCACCTGCGGGTGTAGCCCAGGCAATTCGAGTAGAATCATGCTGGGGGTTTTCATTTTGCCGGGGATTTTTGTCTTGACAGTGGTGTGCTCAAGCGCTGCCGATTGTAGCCCCCGAGCACCTTCCATTGGTGAGTCGGTTGGAGGTGAACATCTTGGTACTTCGTTTCACGGGGCCATGCAATTTGTCATTGGGGTGTTCTCCGTGTTTGTCCCTTGCGTGACCTACGCGTTCGTTGATTTCCGAGTCGATGTCGGGTGACTGAAGCCCCTAAGCCCGTTGGGCTTGGTAGAGTTAGTCTAGTTTCGTCGTTACCCGTGCGTGGTTTACGCAGTCGGATGGTGAATTTGAGCTAACGCTTCGCTTGCTTTCGATGGCTCGAGTGGCCGCTCCGGTGAGCTTCGCTAACGGGGCATGTTCGAGTGGAATCACGGGTTAAATCGTTCGTGGTGGGGTAGCGGAATAGCCCTCATTTGGCATTCCATTGCTCCTTAACCCCGTCCTAGCGAGATGCAGGTCGTTCAGAGATCGACTCGGGTGGCCCATTTGGTCTCCCCTCGATAGAGAGATTCGTGGGCATGGCTCAAGGTTAGGATCGAATGAGAAGGTTGAGATGACCCTCTCCGCCGGAGCAGATTGGCGAGGTCACGTGGGCTCATCTCGCATTTTCTCCCCTAGCTCTATTTGGCTTGTACGGCCTCGAGCCCTTCGGCCGGCCCGGCCTCCCCAGAACGATGCGTTGCTCATGTTGAATGAGGCAACTACCGCTTCATGACGTATAACACGGGCGTTGTGATGCATTAATTGCATATGTGATGCTTTGGATGTATGGGATGAATGAATGGCTATATGAATGAATGTGTGAATGCGTGTATGAGAATGGATGGATGAATGATCATGCATCGGAAAAATTAAGTGAGAGGGTTTGGTAAAAGTCACCTTGATGACTCGAGTGGCCCGGGTTTTGGGAGCTTTTATCGGAGATGTCGAATGGGATCCATGCTTTCGTGCGTTCATGACAGAGTCGGCATAGCCCCATGGGGGCATCCCTGCTGCTCCTTACCTATCTCTCGGCATTCGGCAAGGCTGTCCGTCGATTCGGGGAAGACCGTTGGTCTCTCTCTGGCGGAGATCCGTCGTTGGGCCCTTCTGTGTCCACGCGCCTAGGAAGGCGGAGGGCTGCCGTATGCCGCAGTTGCGCCTTGTTTTCCATGCCTTGTGCTGCGGTAGTGGTAAACAATACCTAGGCTACGTCCCAGTATAACAAAGCGCCGTCTCGTCGAGCAAAGGCGTATCCCATCGGTCAGAGACCGTCCTACCGCATCCCATCCGCATTGAATGGGGGAAGGAGAGGTTTTCGCCCCAATCCTTTGCCTTTCTCCAGCTAACGTGTCTTCTCCTTAAATAGGGAAGGGATAGGGTATTAAATCTCGTTCCTTCACCTATTCCTCAAGCTGCCGCCTCTCTTCCTTCTTCCTTCTCGCCAAGCGTTAAGTGTAGCCACAGTGGTTCCTAGGAGAAAAAAGGGTAGAGCGAGGGAGAGGAGAACTCATAGATCTATTTGCGATTCTAAAGCGAGATGTTGAGCTAGAGGCCATCAATGTGGATGAGATGGTCGGTTTGCCTTGACGAGAAAGGTGCACTTGCGTGAAGGAGGTGGCACACTAGAGGGGCTCCTATGGGGAGGCTTTCCCTCGACCTCTCACTGACAAGGTCGTCGTCTCCTTCCTCGCCTTCCATGAGCACGAAATTTGGGATACCCCGCTTTTCAGTTTCTATGGGCTCCTCAATGAGTGGGGCACGGAGCTATAGCACATCAATCCGATGGGGTGTTGCTTGCGTCCACCCGCTTGTCATCACCGTCTGTGAGGCCTTTCCTCGGGATGCCGCATGTGGACTTCTTTCGATGGATCTTCCTTTGGGCGAGCCTTTGCCGAGGGGAAGCCAGCTAGAGACTGCGCCCGGTTGGTGGCCGCCTAGAAGAAGCCAAGTTCATTGGCTCCTATCGCATACACCCTGCGACTCCAATCGGGGTGGCACGGGGAGTGGTTCTATAAGGAACCCGGTGGAGCCGCCGTTCTGTCATCGTTCACCGGTAGGAGGCCGGAGGCAAGAGAGGCTGGTCGTGGGGCCCTCCCTGAATTGGTAGAACATAAGATCATTGGGGCGGAGCTCCAGTTTATTGCAAAAGCATAGCCTCGGCAGGGTGCGGGTATTCCACCTTCTTCCACTGCTGTCGGTCGCCTACCGGGCGGAGAGACCTACTGACGATGTACATGTACTCTAGCCCGACGACCCAACATGCGTTCTTTGGTGTAGTTAGCGAAGGACAAAGTTTGGAGCCCGGCTCGTAGGTCTTTCTGAATGAAGGCCCGGAGACCCTCGAAGGAAGCCGGGACCTCTCCACAGGGAAACTACCCAATACTGCACGTTTCTCCTCTCCTTATTCCGTGTCCTTTTGGTCTTGCTCTCCTATAATTTGACTTCAAGTAAATGCGCCCGTAGGGACTCATCGTTATAAATCCGGCCGCATCTTCGAAGGAAGGCTAGAGGGGTGGCTGCAAGCCTTCTACAAGGAGGTGGCGAATGGTAGGAAGAAGAGAGGTGAGAAGGCTCTGGAGGAGGCACCGGAAGGAGGCGAGGATATCGCCCGGCCGCATGTGGGCCGGGAGAATCGGAGCGACGTCGAGACAGAGCTCGAGTCGGAGGAACCCACCTGAGATGGGTGACGACGTGATCTCCTCAAGGATGAGGGAGGCCGAGGTCGTGACCTCGATCTGGAGGCGTCCGCGAGCCTATGGCTACGTCCGGGCTGGGGGTGGGCAGAGAGCGCAGAGGCGTGGCGACGTCCCGCAAAGGAAGCTGCTACCGTGAGCTCGGACCTTTGCCGACGAGTGGAGGCGAAGCGGACTGATCGCCGCGCCCCTTTGAGGGCATCGCACGACCTTGTCCCCACCTGCTCTAGGCACGTGAGAGGCAGCCCTTGGCCGGAGGAACAAGCTCGCACCCCGCATCATTGGGGATGCCCGCAGCGGTGCTGTCATGGTCGACGATGGCTCGAGCCTGGCGGTCGTGGCGACTTGCAAGCCGATCGAGCGGCAGCTAGGTCGACTCTGGCCGAGGTGAGGGGGCATGGCTCGCGACACGCAAGCGGCCCTCATTCCAGCCCCGGGCCTGTTGCGGTAGCCGAGGCTTGAATACTTTGAATGCGACTAACTTGTATTTTTAGCGTTGGCCAATCACTGATGGGGTTGAGCATCGCCCGCCTCCCGTGTGGGGAGTGGAGGCCCTCCTTGCGGCCGTTGTAGAAGAGCGGCGAGAGAGCGAGTGGTGATGGTGCAACCTTCTCCGGCCGCAAGCGTCCCTGCTGGTTGGCACGCAAGTCTGGCGCT